TTGGTATCAAAACAAGACTGGATAAACGTCAAAATCATTTGCAAGAGTAAAATTCAAAATCAATCATTATTATTTGTGGAAAGAATGCTATATATGCTGTATTGGCAATTATATCCACTCTGTTTAGTCTTTTACAAATGCTTAAGACCTCTGGCCGTATTCCACCACTGACTCTTGTTCTTTGTTTGACATTGACAGGCAAGACAGCCTTACCCACCCCCACTTGTGTGGGGAGGTGGTGTTGGAGCAGAGTCCGCCACTGGAGAGACCCACCCAGTCCAGGAGACCACCTTCCATGTTCCCCCTCAGCACCCTAAGGCCCTGCATCCCCACTCACATACTCATCACCACCACGGGCCGATGATGGCTACACGCCCACGCCCACGCCACTACACCTCCCCGACACACAGCTCCTCGACACAGGACTCCATGGAGGTGGTTCATGGCCATCTGTCCATGACCTCTCTGTCTTCCTCTGCCTCCTCTTCCTCTACATCGTCCTCTTCCACTGGAAACCATGGCAACCAGGCCTACCAGCTCCGCCATTTGCCTGTCGGAGCTCTTGACTTTAGTCAGAATGGTGGGCTGAGCATGGGGCTAGGTGCCTTCTCGAACCCACGGCAGGAGACTGGCATGGCCGCGCACCCTGCATTCTCCATGGGCACGAACACAGGGCCTGCCCACTACCTAGCGGAAGGCCACCTGGGCATGAGGCAGGGCATGGACCGGGAGGAGTCTCCAATGACTGGAGTGTGTGTGCAGCAGAGTTCTATGGCCAGCTCGTGACTGCACTGACATTTGGCTGTGTGTTCCCCCCTGTGCGTCATTTTTAAGGTGGTGTTTTTTACTACAAGGTGTGTTGAGAACAAAAGCTGCTCACGTCGGAAGGGAGATATCACTGAACCGCTACTACAGAGAAAAACCTTTTGTTAAAAAGTATATATGTAATTTTCATCAGTCTTTCTTTTGCAATCATTAGGCACAAAATAATACCGCGGAATAACCATAGTGAGATTGAGACATCCATCTTACCATTTCACCAGTTTCATGTAACCACCAAGTAATCACCATATGGTATTATGTGGCAAAATCTTCTAAGGAGCATTTCAGAGCAAAGTTTGATGCTGTTTTGCAGGTAGCTGTTGGTGATGAAATGCTTGGCGTCCTCTTTCGGTTCAAACCGTGGACTGCCTGACATTACTGTTCCACTGGTTCTTTATTATTTTGCCCTTTTTAAGTGAAATTTCTCGTAAAAAGCTGCTTGTAAATCCTGTAGCTTGACAATGAGGGGAAGTGTTTGCGGTGATATTTCTTGTTGGTCGGTATTGTGTAACTCTGTCAAAGGGGAGCACATAGCAGTGGAGTCCCTAAAGCGTGTGCTGGCCGGGCGGAGAGGAGACCTTGCAGGTGGATACTGACACCGACTAGGTCAAAGGAGAGGGAGGCACCACCCTTCAGGCCTAGAGGCCCCGTTGTCCTGCAAGCTGCACCCTGGCCCGGCACAGATGAGAGCAGCGACGGGTGCAGGAGACGCAAGGATCCAGCCCGGGGAAAGGAAGACAGTCAGTGGCTGGTTCAAGATAACCCTTTGGCCTTATGACTCATGGACTTGGAATGGGATGGAGCTGGACATTATCATTTGAATTAAGATGGCTTTTCTCTATTTTTCTCTCTAGACAGCCCTTAATTCTTTAAGGAAATTAAAACAACTTTAGAAAAGGTAAATAAGAATGGTAATTTGAGGCCTTTCTCGACAAAGATTTCTTCTTCAGCAGGGCCCCACATAACAGGGTCTTATTGTACACAACAACCTCCTAAACATTACTTCCTTGAAAATCTTATTCACTGGTTAAGGATTTTGCAGTGGAAAGAACTATCTATTCCAGAGTCTACCCTTTTATGTTTTGTTATTTTCCCCTTTTGCATGTAGTTCCTCATCAGAACCACCTGCACAAGTCTCTCCATCCAAAACATGGAAACTGAAGAAAAAAAACGAGTTAAGTGACTGCCTTTTTTCTCCTCAAATTATGCTGTGAATTTTACAAGAATTTATTTTCCCTTTGGATATGTTTTTATACCAAAGCAGTTGTTTTATAGCATATAGGTGTCTGTAACCAATAATGTAGCAGTTCACCACTTTGACGCAAAGTTTATCAAGATCTTATTTTAACGTCAATACAAACAGCTGCAATATATTACTTTTAGCAAAACTGGAGACCGTTGTTGAGACCGTTGGCTATTGTGTATTCTGGCCAGATTTGTTTGCAACGTTTTACCAAAACTGTTTCCATATTAATTGGTAGATTATTTTGGGAGTCTTTTAAAACTTTGGTATGTTAGAGAATTTGGTAGTTACTCTGCAGGCTCCGGAGTAGCAAGATAGAAGCTGATGGTTTAAAAAAAAAAAAAAAAAAGGAGACTAATGCGTTCTATTTCTGTGTCGTCGTTTTTCTTTTGCCCCCATCATACTATTTCAAAGGGTTTTGCTGCCTTTCATACATCATTTGGTCAACTTGGCTAGTTTCTGCCGTGAAAGCAAGACTTAAAGTCATTGTCTTGGCAGGGTAAGGATAATTGTGGCAAATCAGTTTGTGATGAATGGTATTTTTCTGATTTGGTAGGGCAGATCCCCCATGATTGTTGTCCTATTAAAAAGGAAAGGGTGTCCGTCAGCCCACAACCACATGCTTTGCCTAGGCAGACATGCATGTCCTCAACATAAGTCAATAACTAGATTTTTTTTTTTTTTTTTATATCAGGGATTTTGAAGTGCTTTCTTTCTTCTGTTGCTCATTTTACCAGCTTTGAAATTCGACAGAAAAACCTGCCCACAGCCACCTTTAAAAAAATAAGGGCAGGCCACAGGTCATGCTCTTGCCATTTTTAAAGGAGAAACCATCATAAGAGATCATGCTTGGTATTTCCACAAACACAAATGTAAAGCTACCTATAATGAGATTGGGGTTTTATCTGGATGTCAAGGTAAATTGCAAATTTGCAATCATTTTTCATACCCCGCAGAATTTGAGACATTTAGAAATTGCCAGTGGTTTTTATTACTGGCACTCATACTGGTACTAAACATTCCAAAAATAAAGACTGAAAAAGAAAAAAAATTGACTGCAGTGACTCGTAAGTGTGCGCCTATTTCAGATCATGCTGATTGACCTCTTATTTAGAGCAGTTGTCATGAAATGCAGCCCCTTTTTAATAGTTGAAATAGAATTTATGTATATATTTATATTTTTTTAATAAAGGAAGTATAGAACTCACTACCTTGCTCCTGCTGGTATGTTGATTATGTTTGTCAATTTGGTGACCATTCAGTGGGCAGGAACTCCTGTTTTCTTAGTGGCAAAACCTTGCCTTTTGGCAAAGGTACTTGACTACATCAGGACAACACTATGAGGTAGGGTTTGAATCAAACAGGGAAAGCTAGATCTTCAAACCTTAATAATTTTCACAGGGTATATTGTAAGTGCATGTACATCACAAACCTTACTTTTTGGTTATATGAGAAGCACATGGTTGAAAAAAAAGGTTCCATCTTTCATAAGCCTGTTCAGTTTGTGGGTTATACACAAACACGTATACTTGTCGACATATCTGAACACCCAACAGAAGTTGAAATCCTCTTATTTAATTTGGATTTATCCTTTTCATTTTTAATTTCACATTTTTTTCACTTTTTTTGTACATGCAACATGCACTATAGAATTGAACAGCATGGGGGAAAGGATAAGTCCATGTATCCACAGATTGTAAGATCTAGTCAAGACTTTGCTGTGTTTATGACAATGCCCTTTGTATTATATTAAGACAGTCTTATGTATGATATATAAAAAGAAGTTAATTGAATTGCTTTGTGTGTCTTTATTGTTCTCCATCTACATTAAGTCATTTTCAGATAGAGCTCACTCTTCACCCCAGGTAACATTAAAAACTCATCCGAAATGAAATATTTTTTATCATAGCCTTTGTAATAAATAAAATGCGTAGCAACATAAAATGTATAAGTCTTAAATATAAATGCTTGACGCTATCTATATCAGGCCTTTTATAATATCAGAAAGGCCTGTAATTGACGTTCTGGCTCGTTGGTCTAGGGGTATGATTCTCGCTTCGGGTGCGAGAGGTCCCGGGTTCAAATCCCGGACGAGCCCTGAATTTTACTCAAAGGACGGAGGCTGTAGTCGTGAACACAATTGGTTAGTCGCAATTTACTCACGTGTAGTTCAACGTAGTTTGAAAAATCAAATAACGTAATAAAAAGTATAATCCCAAATTCATTATACTTTATGCGATTATGGATTTGTTGAGCTATTTTGATGCCGAATACTGACCGTATTTTCGCTAGTGTCGATTGTAATGTGATGCTCGATTTCAGACTGAAGACAATACAACAAAAAAAGAGGGCTCGTCCGGGATTTGAACCCGGGACCTCTCGCACCCTAAGCGAGAATCATACCCCTAGACCAACGAGCCGAATGACTAGGGCCGGTTTCATTTTTGATTAGTATTTGCACTATAAAGACGAACTACTGTTTACTAGTTTATCTAATAAACGGGTTTTCTCTTAACCGATTTGACTGAATTTAAGACAGCTAACTTAGTGAGGAAGAATTACTAAATTGTGGGATTTCATAGTTACCAATTGCAAATGGATTTAACGTTATTTTCTAAATATGGCTAGATATTTGTTTGAAACCCTAGGTCATATAACGAGTTATCGGGTTCAATCTGCTTCTTGGAAAACCTCATCTATCGTTAATATATTAAGCACAAAGACAATCTACCATTTAAGCAGGCAAACTCTTGTCATCCAGTGGGAGAGCCAGTGGGGGGCAGCAGCAGTAAACCTTGGAAAGCTGCTGTCAGTATATTCAAGGGTGAAGAAGAAATATTAGATGTATTTTAATTGGTCATTAGAAATGAACTGCGTACTTTCAGCAACCAATAGTTATACCTCAGAATGTGTGTACGTCCAATCAGGAACGTGGTAGGCGGGACGTCGTCCTGCAGAACGATCTACTCAAAATTCAACCGTTGTGATTGTGTTCGCGAATCCACTCCACAAACTGTTTGATTGTTTGATGGAAACCCAAACGCACACTAGTTGAGGCGTTTTAAGTGTTCTGCTAGCCTGAGAAAAGTATCTGGTTCCACACGATTAAGTAAAGGAAAGCGCTTAAGTTAGGTTAGCTAAGCTAACTACCTAGCTTGAAGCATGCCGAATTTTTGCGCGGCCCCAAACTGTACAGGGAAGAGCACACAGTCAGATATGGCATTTTTTCGTTTTCCACGGGACCCAGAAAGGTAGGAAGGACATATTTTAGAGTCACCCACTTAAATAAACTGAAACCTCCATGTAACCCTTAACATGAATGCAAACTGTGATAATTCAGTGAGAGCTCAACGATCATAACATTTGCAAAGCTGGCAAACGAACTAACCAAAGCTTTACCTTATACAGAGAGAAACGTTTTTCATGTTGGGTCTAGGCTTGTTATTCATTTTAAAATACATATCTAAATATGTTTTGCAGAGAGTGATGTTTGGCTTAAATTAGGTGACACATATATCTATGGGCGTTATATCTGACTTGTTTTTGTTGAATGGCCAGGTCTACTTTAGTGCCGTGGTGGTAGCGAAAGTGTCAGAAGTAAAACTGTACTAATACCACGCTATACAATTAAAACTCTTGTACAAGTTCTGCAACAAAACATTTAGTATAATTAGGCAAATGTAACTAAAAGTAAAAGAACACAATGCAGAAAAATATTCCCTGTCACTGTTAACTATTAAAATATTGTATTGCACATGCAATCATTGTATGGGAGCACATACTATGGATAATATAAGTTGATATAAGTTGTGTTTACAGACACAGCCACCTGTCTCAGCACAGATTTGTTTTGGATGTCTCATAAAGCTGCAATGTGTCTCCTTTAGATGCCGAATCTGGGTAGAGAACTGCCGCAGAGCAGCTTTTGAGGCAAAAACGTCAGACCAGCTGAATAAGCACTACAGATTATGTGCCAAACACTTCGACCCTGCGATGGTGTGCAAAACCGTGAGTATCTCAAACAAGTCTAACATTTCTACTTGTTTTCCCAAAAATGGGATTATCCCAATTTTTTAAATAATTTGCATTGTCTTTCAGAGCCCCTACAGGACTGTATTGAAGGACACAGCCATTCCAACCATATTTGATCTGACAAGCCATCTAAATAATCCTCATACCAGACATCGCAAGCGAATAAAAGAACTTGTAAGGAAAATATTTAATAGTTTCACTGTTTTAAATTAACCTCTTAAGCATGATAGTTCACAAACTGTTGTCTGTTTTTTGTAAATGACCTGAATTTTTCCTTTTAGACTGAAGAAGATTCAAGGAAGATTAAAGAAAGGAGATGTAAGTAAATAGGAAATATATGTTGTGGTCATTAAGGAAAAATAATGTTTATTTTATTAAGTATTTACTGAAAATGATCACTGTTTACATTTTTGTCTGTTTGTCTTTCGCCAGTGGCTTCTATTGAGCAGCTTGCTTCCAAAAAAGATGGAGCTGTTGAGGACAACTCAAGCACCAATGAGGATGAACCTCAACTGTCCACAGAGGAGAAGGAGTTTCGTGACCACCTGCGGTCCTTGTTTGAGGTTGTGNTACAGTTGACCTGCTTTTAATTGAACTATTCATATCTTAAACTGCACTGTAACTTTTATTCATGTATTTTTTCTTTTAATGTTTATTTTATTATCTTTGGCAAAGATAATAAAATAAACATTAAAAGAAAAAATACATGAATAAAAGTTACAGTGCAGTTTAAGATATGAATAGTTCAATTAAAAGCAGGTCAACTGTAAGAAATACAACAACTTAAACATATTGAGAGATTAATTAAAAACGTTTTATTGCTTCAGTTTGCTGAGCACCTTTTTTATTTTCTGCTTTGAATGCCTTTATGCCTTGCTTTTGTCTTGCCTCTCTATCCTAATGTCCTTTCTTTGGCCTCTGTCTTGAAAGCACTTCGTCACTATTTTTTTGAAAAGCGCCACATATATAAGGTCTGCTTACTAACTGACTTCCTAATACCTTGTTTGCAGGGTGGGATAGAAGCACCTTACAGGTGTCACCTCACATCTCCCCTGCAAAGCTGCTCATTGTCTACGGCAACAATGCAGATCCAGCCCTGCCCTCAACAGTCCAACACATAGATCTGATTAGGACTGTTTAAACACAGGCGGTTGCACTGCAGAAGAGGGACGACTAAAGCCCCCTGACTCAGGAATGTGGGAGGATTGGAGCCACTTTGCCCTAAAGGTTTGAAACCAGTCTGGAGCTGCAGCACTAGTCTGTTTGTTGGTCCACGCCGGTTTGACATTATCTTTTCAAAGCCTTCAGGCTCCGGATAACAAACTATTGAGTTTATGCTCATGAGCGGTGACCTACAAGAACATTAGTACAAATAGCCACACCTACATTTACAACACACCTCCAAACAAGCGGGTATTACCATAACAATCGACTCAGTTTCGAGCCAGTTTTCCCTTCACCTCATGCCGTGTCCATGACAATGCAACTTCAGCTGCAGAGAGGGAGACAGCTGGGTGGTGCAGAGCTGGCTGTGGTCATAGCTTGCAGTAGAGGAGGGCACAGTGTTTGGCATTGTTTTATTCTCGGATGATTTACAAAGAATGCAAATGACCCTGAAACCTGCCAGAGGCATAAAAACAGCACATATCTAAAATCTGGCTTTGTATAGGCCTACAATCCCTTTGTTTAGTGTTCAGATGTTTTGCTCTGTTGTTGGTGTTTACTTTTAAATAACTGCAAACGTGCCTCAGGTAACACTGGCTTGTCTGATTTGTATTGGCTTTCGGGTGTACTTTTAATGACTTTGTGTTGTTTGGGCTAGTGTCTCTGTCAATGCATTTACTGTGATGTGAGAAAACATTCAAAATGAATTATTCCAAGGTCTAGGAACTGTTTATCTGTGTGTGAACCTGTGGGACGTTCTCAGCGTTGTTTATTTCTTGAGTGAACCTGAGGTGTCCCTGCCCTGCTGCCTTCACTTTCTCGTGCTCACTTTCTCCATGCCTCGCTCTAAACAATTGTTCTGTTCAGCTAATTTTCTCTTTTGTTGTGTGCATTTCATATGGAGATTAGCTAGCTGTGCCATTCAACCCAAACCTGCTTTGGCAAGAGAGCTCTGAATTTCATGACTTCCTATTACTGAGGCTGATTTCTTTTAAATAACCTTTCAGGAAATCAAGTGGCCCCAAGACATGGTCATTATTAACACAGAAGGTGTTTATTATAGAAACTTTTTGTTGGCTTCAATACATGCCTGTCATTTATAACCCGTAATTTAGCCAGTATAAACAAAAAACCATGTTTGATGAGCAACCACTGATTGGATGTCCTTTCACACATAGTTCACACGTTTCACATTTACTTATTAGTGAAACTATTGTCACCTTAACTGACCACTTAAACCCTTATTTATTTGAAATACCCATTACTGAAGTGGGTTTTCAGAGATGTAAGGGTTTTGTGCACCTCAAACTGGAAAGATAAAGCAGAAAATCCAGATTAACTATTTTTTCTGCGTTTAGAAGACAATCAAATGTTTCTTTGGTTTAAAAACACACTGATCGTTTTGCTACTTGGGAACGGCATACTTTGGACACAACATTTGCACATCATCTTATTAAGTTATTTTGGTGAACTGATTAGAAAAACATTTTGGTTTTACACATCTAGCACACATGGACCATCCTTCTTAATAATTTGGTTTGCTGTTTCTTAGCAACTTCCTCTGACTTTGCCTGTCTATCGTTTGGCGATGAGCAGCTTTGCACAGAGCAGCTTGATGCAACTATATTGATGAGGTGAAACTATACAACATAACATTTGTTGATCGAAAGACCAAAACAATATAATCAAAGGGAATAGACTCTGTGTGATCCTCACCATGAGCGGCACCTTTCACAATAATGAACCATTTGAACTATAAGTAATACAAATATATTAAATAGAGCACCTATAAGTCTATTGACAATGTTTTCCTATGCTGTCGCACAGAGCAAAGCCCTATCTTTACTTCAGTAAGAGTGATGCATTCAGCACTTGCCATTCCAAAACAGGCCTTATTACTGAAATGGAAAACATTTGGTGTCTCGCTGAACCATTATTAGCTTGTGGGGCTGCTGTCAGGCGGAATCAGGTGCAGCTTATCATGCACTGCAGAGAAAGTTTCTGCAGTGTCTGAGTCAGCCATTCAAATATCAAAGTCATCATAAGCAAATCATTCGTCTATTAAAAAACCTTTGAACAGCCTTATTTTTAAAAGTCATTGGCGTGAAGGATAGCATTTTTAAGGTATCCATTAAAGCCCCACTTTGCAATGCCCATTACAACTATCTTAAGTAAACCTTTCTCTTCTTTGTCCCCACTGGTGTTTGTCAAATGTTCTAAATGTAATTAACTAGTCAGTAATTTAACCAGATTAACCCTAAAATGTATGAGAGGTCAAAAACAGGCCAAACAACTGCTCAAATTTGTATTTTGATCCCTTCAGAGACGGCTTGCTGCTGCAATTAAGTGCAACCAAATGCATTTGCAAACTAAAACAAGATTAGCCGTCTCTAGTGAGGCTGAGCTGCTCCCATGCATAATGGGCTGATACACATTCTGTGAACCTGCCACCCCTTCATGCATGCACACTGCAAAAATATTTAACATCAGGGCTAATGATACTGCAGCTAAATGAGATTCTCCTTCAAACACCCTATTACCATAGTGGCCTTTAAAGGATAATAATGCTAGTTTTGTATCTTCCATCCCATTACCTACTAATCATGTATACTTTGCATTTCACTCAGGAGAGACGTGATGTATGGAATACATGTTTATTATCGGGTCACATTATATAAATGAACATAATGATGACAGTTTGTAGCAAGTGAATGAAATAGTGTTTTGGCGATTAGGCCCAGGTTTGGTAGGATGTCATTCGGGAAGGAAAGAACCGTTTCCGATGAACCCCCCTGGGTCTAGACACTGGTGGTGGTGATAAGTGGTTAGGTCCGGTTGGAAGGGAGAAGGTTAAGCTTGGTCCTGAGTTGGAAGCAGGAGGCGAAGGGGTGGAGGAGGGTTGCGCGTTGACACCTGGAAGACAGCTGATAGAAGAGGGGAGAGCATATATAGAGGGATTACCAGGTGCGATGATTAGGCTTGTGAATAGAGGGACGTGATAGGTTTGCTGAGGAGTGGCGCTCCCTATCCTTAAGTGGAGGGAGCGAGTATTGCCATGACGTGCAATACGAAGTGATAGGTCTTCCTGTCTGAACTTGCGCTGAGCTTCATTTCACTCAGGAGAGACGTGATGTATGGAATACATGTTTATTATCGGGTCACATTATATAAATGAACATAATGATGACAGTTTGTAGCAAGTGAATGAAATAGTGTTTTGGCGATTAGGCCCAGGTTTGGTAGGATGTCATTCGGGAAGGAAAGAACCGTTTCCGATGAACCCCCAAAAGAAGTGAAAGTATGAAATACTGACCGTGATGAATCTTACCTTGTGGGATGCAGTGGATATCTATGGATGAANTAGCCTGTTCCATTCTTCTTTGTTTTCCGAAGCCATGGTTTGGAAGTATACTTGCTTCGTTTCTGAAGGAAGTGACTTGGAAGTATGCGACTACCAAGCCAGTATCCTCGCGATTGAGAAACGGCCCCTGTGTTTTCCTCTCTGTCATTAGTTTCCCTGGTGTGTCTAATTTCCTGACTGTTTTCAACTGTCACCCCTTGTGTGTCTCCTGTGCTCATCAGCGTCAGCCCCGCCCCTGATTGTTCCCACCTGTGTCTTATTATCATGTGTTTAAATTCCCCTGTCTCCCAGTGTTCAGTGTCAGTTCGTCTTGTCTCTTGCCATGGTCAGGTCTGCTCTTTTTGTGCTCTCGTAAGGTCTTGATCCTCACTACGTGAGCGCTTTCATTTTGTTCTCATTTTTTGTCATCTCATCCTGAGATTAGTTAGTGACCATTTTTTGTTGATTGTGTTTTGGAAACAGATGGTTTTGGCCACTGGGGGCAGTACAACAAGCTGTAAAGCAACAGATAGGGAGCAACTTTAGCATTGATTGAAAGACACGTGTCTTAAGCTCTGTTTTTGGTTTCAAGTTTCTGTGCAAATATGTGAGGGAAAAACTCACAAAGGAGCTTCACAAAGTAGCTGCTGATTTGTCAGGTCTTTTTTAATGAAATTTTACTGCACAATCAAACAAAGCTGATGCTTGTTAAGAGTGAAAAAGGCTATTAAAGTATTTGCCCGTAAACCCAAACCAATTAACTAAAAGATGATAAAAATTCTACTTGGAGCTCAGGGACAATAAAGAAATGGGTCATAGTTCTCGTTCTGCATTCACATTACACATTGTCATTTGATCCAATGAACATTAAATACTGTTGTTTTTTTTCTTTGAGCACATGATAGCTTAACTCATCAGGTAAAATTACAAGTCGGTAGTTTGTTGACTGAGGATAAATAGAGGTTTTGGCCCTAAGCAAACTTTTGTCAGAATAAAGACGGCTAAAGTGTCAAATCCCTCCAAAAGGGGGAATAATCCTATCCTGGATGAATGGCTCCAGTCCTTCTCTGAACCTGCAGTGAAAAT